CTTTCCAAATCTTGGGACGAAATCCATGACCAGTACCTGCATGCCACATGCAAAGGCTTTGTCGAACGTCTGAAGGACTGTGTGAAGGCTAAAGGAGATCATTTTGAGAAGCATTAACATTTTTTGTATTGTCATGTTTGTAGTAAATAATATTGATAATTAGAATTGATTTGTGAGAATTATTGTCAAAATGCCATTGAAAATTTAGTGCACCAGTAATTTTGCCCCACCCTGTAGTACAAATGTTTACATAAGTATGGATTCGTGTGAAAGAACAACACTACATATCTGCAACAGCTTCAACAGGCATGCCGTTCGCCGCTACAACGTTTTTCATCTTTACCAGCGCTGGGTCTAAAGGTCAACAGGTCGAAATGGGGGGGGGTCGTATTGGCCGCTGGGAGGAAGAGATCGGGCCAGATGCAGTAGGATCACCACTGTCGGAGGACAAACATCAAGGATCGAGTCGATGCCATGGAAGGCCAGAGGATTTCCAATAACAATGTTATTCCGCCCACATAAAATTTTCGTGATTCAAAGGCGTCCGCGTAATTCTTAGTTACTTCAGTGTTTTATCACCACAAGTTGAAGAATCCGAAATTCGCACGTTTTCCAAGGATATTTTATCTTTCAAGTGAGTCCTCGAATCTGAAGGGATGTGAAGCACACGGCGCATCCCAGAGTGGGCCCAGTTGTTGCGCGCGCTTCAACTACGGCTCTCTGGAGAAAGAATCTCAATTCAGGAAAAATCAAGAGGATTCTGAAAGGGTCCGTGTGAAATTACAGGGAGGAGTACACTATTCAACAAGAAACGCAGCCTTCAGCGTCAAATTCATGAAGCATGTAAGTGTTAAAGTTGAGATTCGCCAAACAATTTTACACTTGTTGAAAAGAGAAAAGCTCGTGGATTTCGAATCTGCTCCCATTTTTGTACATAATCGCCCCTGAAAGGAGCTATAGTCGTTGAAATAGTGCCAATGTAGCGAAAAAGTACCTTTCGGCGGTACTCGGGCAAAAATCCTCAACGTGGCCATTTTTTAATACTGGACGTATTGAGCAGTTCTAGTAACCGTTGAATAGAGCAAATCTTCTAGTTTATGATGACGTATTAACTTTTCAGATTGGATGAGTTTGAACGGAGTTATGGCTTTGGAAAGCGTAAAAACTCGCACTCATCACGAATTTTCCTCGTTAATTTTGCAAAAATCCTCAACGTGGCCATTTTTTGAATACTGGACGTATGAAGCTGCTTTAGCAACGTTTGATAGAAAATTTGTTATTTCTTATAACTTTTTGTAATTTCAATACTGATTAGAAAGAGCTCTTCACAAAACTCCCAAATCTGCTTTCAGATTGAAAATTCGTCATATTTGAAGAAAGTTATAATCATTTGAATATTTGTTCAAATTTCAATAGTAATAAGCTGCTCCACGGTCAACGCCAAAGATCAGTCAACACACAGCTGGCTAAGGCGGTTACAAGGCTTCTTTCAACGAAAGGGGACGTGTAGATTGAGAAGCATACTCTGTGTAGTACTAAATTGGTAAGCCTTCCAAAGGAAATAAGGAAGAAGAGATGCTGCCATAGTCCGCTTTTTATGACTAGTTCGTCGTTTTTTGCTCCATTTGTTGGTAGGACTCAGATAATAATATTTCTTTGACTTTTTTCTTTACTTTTCTGCTTTTGTACTTCTTCGACGACTTTTATGTTTTATGGTGGAGGGTGCGGTACCAGGTGTTTTATTTGATGAACATCTCTCTGGGAGGATCAAACAGACTTTTATGGTTCGGCTTGTGGAGGAGGTAGTT